CTTGCATTGGGTTTCTAAGACACGGGATACAATTCTTTGTATCACCTGGTGGATTCAAACCGCCAGCCTTTCAGTTACCAGCCTGATAGGCCCTCTGCCACCAGAGCTCTGGAGAGGGAACTATATTCTTTTTAAATCAGAAAGCTTTCATTATTTATAGAGGATTTGCTCCAAGGCTTCCAATTGGTTCACCCCCTTGCATTTGGTGGCCCTAGTGGATAAGGAGTTGCTCTGCCAGCAACAGCAAACAGCAGTTTGAACCCAACACCCCCTCTGCAGGAGAAAGATGTACAATCTCCTTCTGTGCAGTTTACAGCCTCTGATAATCTGCTAGGGGATCAGCCATGAGACAGTGAGTAAGTGTGTGATCCTAAGTAGACAGATTCAGGAACTACAGTTTACCGTGTTGTAGTTAAGTAGAGTCGGAACTGACCCATAGCCGATCCTCCAGCAAGTTTTCAGAGGCAGTAATCCTGTCCCAAGGAAGAAGATTGCCTGTCTTTCTCCTGTAGAGCAGCTGGTAGATTCAAACCCGTGTACCTTTACGTGGGCAGCACAGTTCCTTGCCTCTAAACCACCAGAGCTCCTACAGTTTAACATAATTCCCAGGCCAGTGTTTATGTAAACATTAGTGATTGCTGCCTGGCCCATCTGTTGCATTTGCATCAGTCCACCTCATAAATTACAGAGTAGAACTGAGTTGCTCTGGGTTTTCTTGGTTGTAATCTTTGCAGAAGCAGATGGCAGGTCTGTCTTCTACAAAGCTGCTGGGTTCACATTGTCAGCCTTTTAGCAGCACGTAAACAGTTTGTCCCATGGAAATTGGCAGCTGATGATGCAAGGCAGGACTTTTGCTCCCACAAAGCTGGTTGTCCACCAGAAAACCTTGGTTACAAGGCCAGGTTCATATTAACTGAAGCTTTATTGGAACACTGACTACATATGGTACTTCAGATTTGTCATCATTTACAACCTATTGTAAGCAGCAGTGATAGGACATACATGAAATTGATAGTCTCGCATCTAGCTTCAGACCACAGATGTGATTTGTTTGATCTGTGAGAGTAAAAACACAAAAGCACACCCAACAGAAAATACTTCCGTTAGTGTTAAATGGGAAGATTTTACATTAATTAAAACAAATTACATTTAAATTAAAATAAAACAGAATTTCTGATATCTCTTTAAAATTAGGATCTTTATGTGGTAACGTTGAGCTGGAAGGTGAATCATAGTTGTCTTTCTAAATAGGTGTGAGTTGCCTTTTCATTTCACTGATGGATCTTTTCTTTCAGCCTCCTGTAGGCGTTTGGGTTTGGCATCCATAAAGTAAACTAATCTAATCCCAGAGAGAGAGAGTTTCTCTACAACTGGGATCTTAAAATGGTGCTATAAACTTTCCACAAAGTTGATCTAATTATACTAACAAATGACAAAGTCTTGTTCCAAATTTCTGATAGCTTTGTTCCCAAACCCAAGTGACTCGTTGCTTGTATTAGGGGCCTGTGCTTTTCCCTAGATGATATAAGTTGTTGAGGAAGGTTTCTGGAAGTTTCTGAAAAAAGTAACTAATATCTGTTTCTCAGTCCCTAACTTTGTGACCTCATGCTTCAGAAATACCCACCCCCTAAGTAAAGGCCTTTGTTTGCTGCTAGCAGTCTGTTTGAAGATGATTTTGAGGGGAAAGGTAAGATCACGGTGTTTCCCTTGCAGATCAAAGTTGCAAGTGCTTCGCTTATTTGCCTTAACAGATTTCCCTTCTTTAGTGGGCTTTCGGGATGTCCAGCTAGACACGCTGTCTCTGTCCATGTTTTATGATGTTGTGTATGTTGCTGTCAATATCTATTGACTTCTGATTAATTTTTAAGCAGGTTAACCTATGGTCCCAAGACTGGCAGATGAAATTTCTCCTTTTCACTTTGAAGTGATCCAGGAGGTGTTAACTCTTACTTTTGTCCTGTTTAGCAAATATTTGTTAAGCAAATAACATGCAGAAGCCTTTGAACATGGTGCTGAGGGGCATCTAGTGAACCAACGAGCCAGGCTGTGGTGAATGCTGTAAGTGCCGAGGAAGAGGCTAACACGGATGGGATCAGGAGGACAAAGGATATAGCATTTATGTGCCTATGACCCACCATAGCGTCTTAGCTTCTGAAGCAGTTCTGTCTTTCAAGTATTGGGAATGACGGAAGCCCAGCTAATAGCTGTTGAATCCATTCTGACTATTGGTGACCCCATGTGTGTCCCCAATAGAATAGAGCCACCACAGTATAGAACTGTGCCTCTTAGTGTTCTCAGTAGCTGATATTCTCAGCATTAGATCACCAGGCATCTTCTGAGGCACCTCTATGTGGCCTTGATCTCTCAACCTTCTGCTTAACAGCTGAGTACATTAATTATAACACCCAGGGGCTCCCTCCACACAGCATGTTTAATCCAAAATGAAATGGAGCCATTTATAGGATAGATTTCCTTCTCATCAAGGATCCTTTAGAATGCTTATTTTCTGCCTATCGAGGATTTTGCCTCTGTTCTGTAGGGCACCTCCCGTGCATTCCATTGACAGGAGCTGAGCGACACAAAGTCACAAATTTCTTCTAGCAATTAACTTTTTTATTCTGAGGCTAGTGCCTTTTGACAAAATCTGTTTGCATAGTAGTTGTATGGGTTGTTGCCAGACCCTAGAAACTATGCCCACGAGGCAGCCACACACAAGTAATATAATTTCTGTGAATGTTAGCCATAAAATTAGAATAACAGTATCTGCTTAGAGGAATTTTGGCAAGACTTAAAAGAGCTGGTACAAGGCAAAGGAATCCTGGTGGTGCAGTGGTTAAGCACTTGACGCTAACTTGAAGAACCACCTGCTTGTCTGTGGTAGAAAAACGAGCCAGTTAGCGTCTGGAGAGCTTTATAGCCTAGGACGGCCCGTTTATGGACGGTTCAGCCATCCTAAAGGGTCCCTGTGAGTCAGACTCAACTCCGTGACAATAGACTTGGTTTGCTTTTAGTACAAGATTTTTATTTTTCTTTTAATCCTTTTAAAAAGCAAACAAATGGAGTTATTCCAAGTTAGACCTTATAAATTACTTAGACCTCATAAACTACTTAGTTTGACGTAATTGGTTTGGTTTCATGTTGATGGTTACGAGTTGTTTTGTTGTTTTTTCCCCACGTTAAATAATCGACCCAGACCTCTGGATTAGCAGTGAAAGCTGGAACTCAACAGGCTGCCTTGTGCTTCCAGATCTCGAATGTGAACGTTTTCCACCTTTGCCAGGGTGCGGTCTTCCCACTTTATTACTCTCGGTTAGCGGGAAATAATTGTTTTCCTTCCCTGGCCTGTTTCCACCGAACACAGGTTCTAGTTTCCGAAGATTTTACTGTACCAATTGTGAAGATAATGGAGTATGTGTCTGTGGTTACGAACTGGCCACTAGTCCCTAAGCTGACCAAGGGGCTGTCCTACAGACAGCTGATTCCGTTTTCATTTTTTGTGCTGGTACCTAGCAGAGTGGCCTGGTCCCTGGAGAAAGACATGCTTAGCAAAATAGAGGCTCAGCAGAAAAGGAGACGCCCCTCAACAAGGATGGACACGTTGGCTGCAGCAGTGGGCTTTCTTGAGCACGGCAACAAGTCTGAGGATGATGCAGCATCAGGCACTTCTGTTGAACATTAGTCGGCACTCGGTGACACCTAACAGCAGCAGGGTGGCACATTGGTCTCATAGAAGTGAGACATTGTGGGGCCACTCAGCTATTGTTGCAAGGAGGGACCAGTCCTTGGAGAGGAACATCATGTTTGGGAGGGTGGAGGGACAGCAAAAAAGAGGAAGACCTTCAATGAGATAGACTGACTCAGTGACTAGGGGTGGTATGTCAGGGACAATAAGGTTGACTAAGGATAGAGCCAAGTTCAGAGCTGTTGTACATAGGGTCACTGTGAGTTATAAGAGACTCGACAGTTTATAAGAAACAACTTGTGCCAAACCCTTGAATTTAGATAATATATTTTAATTTTAATCATCTAATCTTCATAGGAACACTACATAGTACAGATGACTAAGCTGAAATTTGAGAAGTTAAATAACTTGCCCCATAATCATGTTGGCATTGGAATTGAAAATCTAGTCTAACTTCAGAGGCTGAACCTGGGTCGGGTATTTGAGCTTATGTTCAGAGATCCTTCCCGGCTCTGAGGCTTCCTGGAACCTCAGGGACTCCTCAGAATAGGATTCTTGCAACTTTGCAGATATTTTTGCCCTACAGAAGAACTCTCTGGATGGCAAGTTGTATTCATTTCCTGTTACTGCTGTAACAAATCCCACACACTTGCTTACTTGCTTAACAACAGTAGGAAATTTGTTCTCTCATAAAGAGATTTAGGTCAGAAGGCCAAAATTGGGGTTTCAGCAGCACTGCACCCCATCTAGAGGCAGGAGAAAGGGACAGAATTCCATTGCCTGCTTCTTCCAGCTCTGGTAACTATCTTAATTTTTTTTATTTACAACTTTGTCCCTCCAGTCTCTACCTCCATCTTCACGTGACTTTCTCCTCTGTGTCAGTCATATTACCCCTATGTGTCTCTTATTAAGGACACTTGTCAAGGGATTGAAGGTCCACCTGGATGATCCAGAACGATCTTTTTATCTCAAGAGCCTTGCCTAAATCAAACCTACAAAACCTTTGTTCCAAACTAAGATGCTTTCTCAGGTTCTGAGAAGTTGTACCTGTGCAAGGCCACCGTGCAGCCGCTGTGCAGGCTAAGGAATACTTGTCCTTTGAGCTCCCCTCCTTTCACTCGCCCATTCAGCAATGTGATGTCCAGGGAAAGCCGCTTTTCCAGTCCAGGTGGGGCATGTGACTGACAATCGGCAGAGTTTCACTTCTTGATGGTTCAAGGGTGCTTCCATGTTTTTAATGTTACTGACCAGTTCCACCCTACTCCCTGCTCCCCCTGTGTGTTCACCATCTCTCTCACAAAGTCTTGTTCTCTTTCAGATTGCTGATCTGCAGCTGCATAAGCTGGATGAACTGGACTGTCTGATTCAGGGCCTGCTTTACGTCGATTCTGTCGGCTTCAATGGCAAGCCGGAATGTTACTATTTTGAAAATCCCACCAACCCGGAATTATGTCAAAAAAAGCCGTACTGCCTTGACAATCCGTACCCTATGTTGCTGGTTAACATAGGCTCAGGGGTCAGCATTTTAGCCGTGTATTCCAAGGACAACTATAAACGAGTTACAGGGACCAGGTAAACGTATTTCCACAAGGAGAACCTTTTTGTACTTACACCCATTTTCCCTTGAACAACAGTTTATAGTAAAAAGTTATTTACCTTTTCTTTTTTAAAAAAAAAAAAAAGTCTATCTTTGCTTAGCCAGCCAAAAAATGATGGAGTGATATGTTAGAAGAGTAAGAAAGTGATTTATCCAAAAATGATTAAAACCACAGTTTTTGCCCTGCTAGAAGGCACTCTGTTGGCATTGTGGTTAAGTGTTTGACAACTACCTGAAAGCTGAGTGGTGCAAACCTCCCAGCTGGTCCACAAGAAAAAGATGTTGTCATCTGCTCACAGCCAAGATTCTGCCTTGGCAACCCTATGGGGCATTTCTCTGTGCTATTGGGTCATGGGTTGGAATCTACTCAGCAGTGTCAGGTTTAGTTTTGTATTTGGTTCTGACTGAGAAGAGGGTGAGACTGAAGAAAGAAGGGTCACACACAAAGTAGTGGCTAGTAAGTGAAATGCCCAAAACAGTTAAATACAGTTCAGGTAGAAAGATCACCGGGATTGTCAAGGATCTAAGAAACTTTTGGGGAAATTCCTTGGAGCCTAGCACCATACTGAGTACCTGCAAATTATGACTAAAATTACTAAATTACATGGAATTTATCACTAAAGGATATATTAGTAGACCGTTGCAACAGCAGAACAAACTAGCTTTACCAAGGAAGCTTCCTCTGAAGTCAATGTAGTTGAAAGCTGCTTTAGTGCACCTTATGTGGGAGTCTAATCTCACAAACATACACACACCTTCAGACTCCATCCTGCTTATGTCCAGAGTATACTTTTTGGTAAGTTAACTGACTCGAGATGTACATTCTCTTACAGAAAATACAGAGCTAAACAAACCTTACTTACTCACACAGGAATGAAAGCTATGGTTCCATGGTCTCATTAAGGTTGTCAGAAGTACCACACTTAGGGAATAGTGGGCCCTCTTTGTCCCATCAAAGAACTTCTTCAAAATGCTTCTTAAAAAGTAAATAAATAAAAATTTTAAAAATTGGAATAATAAACCAAAACCACAAAACACCGCTTCTTTAGCTCCAAGTTTGTAAACCACTAATATAAATTGTTATGGTCAGCAGTGGAAATGTTTGGAACACACTTTGGCAATCACTAAGCACATGGCTTAATCTTTTAAGATCTTGATTAGGAGCAGATAATACCAAGAAGATGTGTACTTGTGTTTTATTGACTATCCAAAAGCTTTTGATTACAAGGATCTCAATAAATTATGGAAATGTTGAGAAAAGTGGAGATCCCAGAGCACTTAATATTGCTCATGCCCAATCTTTAATAGACCAAGAACCAGTGTCTGAACAGAACACTGCATGCTTTAAAACCTGAAAAGGTGTATGTTAGCTTTGTATCCTTTCTTCATCGCTCATCAATCTATATGCTGAGCAAATCATTTGGCTCTGAAGAATGTGGCAACAGGGTTGGAGGAAGATTCATCTAGAACAGCATGATGTAGATGACACGGCTCTGCTTGTAGAAAGTGAAGAAGAGTTAAAATACTGCAGAAGATCAAAGGTTTAGTATGGGTTACATCTCAACACTAAGCAAACAAAAATCTTCACCACTGGACCAGTGAGCAATATGAGAGAGAGAGAGAGAAGAATGACATTCTAAACAATTTAATTTTACTTAGATCCACAATCAGCACTTGAATAGTAGCACTCAAGAAATCAAAAGACATGATGCAGCCTTGGAGGAACTCCGCTGTCATGGACCTCTGAGCAAAGTTGTCAGCTTAAAGACTTAAGGTGTACTTGAGCTGAGCCGTGGAGGAAGTGGTGCGGCCACGAGGCTCCTTAGAGGAGGCAGGATTGTTCAAACCTTGTCTCACATACTTTGGGCCTGTTGTCAGAAGGTGCCAGTCCTTGGAAAAAGACATCATACTGGAAAAGGTAGAGATTCAAGGTAATAAGAGGAGGACCGTCAAAGAGATGGATTGACACGGTGACTTTTTTTTTTTTAATTTAGGTTGTTTATTTTTCATTTCAATGAACATCTACAGAGATTTTGGAATTCCATTCATTCATTGTTGCACCCTTCTCCCCGCACAAACCCCTCCCCCTTCCCCCCCATTTGCTCCTCTCCTTGAAAAGCAAAAGAAAAACTCCCCCATTGGTACACAATCCCCCCCCCGTACCTCCCCAAACCCCACCCCCACCCCCAAATATAATCCACTCTGCAACTTTTAACATGAGGATGATGAGCAGCTGGTGAGGATGGTGCAGGATGAGACAGGGTATCCGATTTGCTGTCCGCAGGGCTGCTGTGAGCTATAGTCAGCTGGACGGCACCTAAGAACAGCAGCTCCTGTTTTGTGAGAGGGCAGGGATCTGTCGTCAGCTTCACAGCACCTGAGGAGCACGGTGGTTACTGTCCTTGGCTGCTAACCAAAGGTGGTTTGAACTCGCCAGTTGCTCCAAGGGCGAAAGCTGTGACCATTGGTTTATACCAAGATTCCAGCCTGGGCCGCCGTATGGGGCGGATGTAGGGATTGCTTCAACGGCAGTGGAATGTGTTGGGTTTTATTGTGGGATTGATTGCTTTTACTGTTGTGTTTCCCCACTGAACATTCTTAATTTTAGAAAAAAACACTTTATAGGCTATCCATTTTAATAAATATGTAAATTTTAAATTGTTCTTTTTAGTCTTATATTTAATTTTGTTTCATCCAAGATTCAGTAGGAACATTTCTCCACTAGTAACAGCCTCAGTTTTATAACAGGAGTCGGTGAAAATATAGGGCTTTGCAATGAAAATACAGGACTTTAATAAGATGTATAGTCTAATAGAAGAGGAGTGTAGAAAATTTGTCTCAGCTTCTTGGAGTCTGTTTTAAAAGCATAGATATTCAGTAATTAATGGTTTCTTCTCCCCTCAACCCCTTTCTACAAAAATATAATTTGAGCAATGATAACAGCATTTCCAGCTCTTTTCTTTTTCCCCCTTTGATTTACTGAGGGTCTTGTGTGCATAAGCCAGAGAGAACAAATGTGTCTGATTGTTGGGTGAGAGAGGCAGTTTCATAATGGCTAGCAGTTGTAGATATTAATAAATTCTGGGAGACATTTGACTCTTTCCTTCTGGGATGTACCGCCTGCGCAGTGATACAGCTCCTGGGGAGCACGGTGGTTACCGTCCTCAACTACTAACCAGAGGTTCGTGGTTTGTACTCACTGCTTGCCCCGAGGGAGCACCAGTTGTTTCTTCCATTCAGTTCAGATTCCTTTGTCTGGAATCACCTGTTGTTTTCCAGTCCTCCAAAGGCACTGGCCCTTATTCACCCTACCAGTGTGTTTGTTGATGTTAGCCTCATCATTAGTGAGTAGCCTTCCTTAGTGTCAGCCAATCCCCTTAGTTGCATAAGCTCAAAGTGGGTTGCCCCACCTTTTAATATAAATACTTTGTGTTCAAAAACAAATGATTAGTGGGGAAAGGAGGGTGGAAGGCATTTGTTGTTGTTATATGCTGTCGAGTCGCCTGTGGCTCATAGCGACCCTATGAACAACAGCCGTAAACCCTGCTCTATCCTGTGCCGATCTTATTGTCTCTGGCACACCCACCCCCCATTACTCCAGTTACTGAATCAATCCATCTCATCGAGAGTCTTCCTCTCTCCTGTGCTGCCCCTCCACCCTCCCAATCATGACGTCCCTCTCCGAGAACTTGTCCCATCTTGCAACATATCCAAAGTATGTCAGACGAAGCTTCAGAATCCTTGCCTCCAAGGAGCAGTGTACAAAGACTTCCTCTTTAGAATATATGCATACAGAAAACAAATTCCGATGGTGTGCAAACAAGAAAAGAGTTCCTTTGAAAACATACTAACTTTGTCATCTCATTTGAAACTGGCAGGTACTAGGAAATGGCATGTTCAGTGTAACTAAAGGAAAGCTTCCTTAAAGGAAATCCAAGTTTTTACTGTACCTTAGTGGCTGTGGTGATAATGTCCGTAGAGCCTGAATTTCCTCATGGCATTTTGTGCCTGCAGGTAGGGTGCCTGATTATGTAATCTTTCCATGTTCTGTTGGTGCCATCAAATTGATTTTGCCTCGTAGCATCGTCAGTACCAAAGTACTGCCCTAAAGGATTTTATAATTCTGAAGATGAAAGAAGAATTGACACCTTTGCATTTCGATGTGGCAGAGATATAATTGAACAAATATATGTACTATGGACAGCCAAAAGGAAAAACAAATTTGTGTTGGAGCACATGCAACCAGAGTGCTACTTAGAGGGAAGGAGAGTTGTAACTCCCTCACATCCTTTGAGCAAGTTGTCAAGAGGGCTAGAGAAGGCAAGGAAGACCTCAACAGGGTGAACTGACACGATGACTGAAGCAGTGTGTTCGAGCCCAGCAGAGACTGTGAGGATGGCACATTTCCATCAGCCTCTTGTGCCTGGGGTCACTGTGAATCGGAGCTAACGCAGCAGCACCTATCGAGAACCAAAAAAGCAGATCCTTACAGAAGCATGTAGCCACATCTTTACCCTGTGGGGATACTGAAGGGTTTCACCTGCCAGACTTTGAGTTAGCATTTTACCATTGAGACTCCAGGATCTGTTCATATTAGAGAAGACATTATTTCAATCAAGAATATATTGTCAGAATTGTTTTTTTTAAATAACTCATCAATTTTGCCTGAGGTGAGATTTAAAGAGTGTGCCTGTCTATATGATACCTTTAAACCAACAGTGAATATAGTTTAATGCTAAATTTTTTTTCGAATGTAAATTAAAAATAGTCTTAATCCCAATTTGAGTTTCTTTTTCTTTATCAAAAGCCAGTATCCACATAAAGAGTTAGCATGCTCAGCTGCAAACCGAAAAGGTGGAGGCTTGTTGACCTCAAGGCACCCCAAGAGAAAGACCTGGTGATTTGCTTGGGGGAATTTGGCTGTTAAAACCCTATGGAGCAGAGACACACGTGGATTCACCTTGAGTTTGAATCAAGGGCACTGAATTAAGAGCACAAATCCCAGATGCACAAAGGTCCCCAGAGGTGGCAGTTCTCTTGGGCTTTCAAATAGCTACTCTCTCCTTTCTGTTCTTCTGTGTGGTTAATAAAGTGCAAACCCCAAGCACTCATTTTCCTGCCAGGAGTTCACAGGCCGTGTCTTTACTCCGAACCAGCTTCTCTTCCCATTAGGAATTTTTTTTGGTAATGCTTAATTGACTTCATTCCTAACTATCATAATCAGCTTCTCATTTTAATCTAAAAGGCTCCCAGAAGAGTTCTCTCTCTCCCCTTCCCACCTCCCCCCGCAAACTATGGAATGAACATGATCCCAAGCACTGGAACCATTTTATGGCCCTTGTTACTATTTTATGTCTATTTTGTGGCAAATAAAAATTAATACCTTTTTGCAGAGTCTGCTAGAAAAAAAAATGTGTACAGCACAGATCAGTTTTTATTGATGTTTCTTGTGGTTTTCGGAGTTGGTTTGTTTTTGTTGGTTTTTTTTAACTCCACAATCTCTAGAGAGGGTAAATGGGGGTCATGTCTATTACAGAAGGGTGGCCAAGTGAAAGAAGATAGAGCTTTTGGGACAGCTAAACTAGAAGCCCCAGTGGCATAGTTATGTTTCGGACTGGTGACTGAAAGGTGAACAGTTTGAATCCACCAGCAGCTCCACAGAAGAACGATGAGCAGTCTCCTCACATAAAGATTTACACCCTCAGAAACCCAGTGGAGGGTCACTGTTAGTCAGAGTCCGCTCTGCAGCAGTGGTTTTGGGTGGGTAGTCTTGGCAGAACCCCGGGTCACTTTTGTCATCAGAAATTTGGCTTCACAATTGTGAACATATTTCATATGCACACAATTTCTTTTTCTGCTTATAAAATACCCAAATAAGAAAGATCATATTGGCCCCTATCTTATAGCAAAGAAAACTGAAGCACACTAGTGGCTAGTTGGAAGGTCTCACAACAGAATTCATTCAGTGAGAGTCACTCTCGGGTTTTGAGTTTCCATTTAGATGCTCGTTTTTACTCTCTGACCTCTTATATAATCCTAAAGCTCACCCTAGCACTTTTATTCAACTGCCCCTTTAGTTCTCTTCCCCTTTTTGAAATAACCCATATTAATGGTGGTAATGTAGTTGGGAATTTGGATGGGCATATCTTAAAGTAAAAGTTAAAAAATAAACCTTATTGTTCCTTCAGTCTTGGAGGTGGAACATTCCTAGGCCTATGTTGCTTGCTGACTGGTTGTGAGACCTTTGAAGAAGCTTTGGAAATGGCAGCTAAAGGCGACAGCACCAATGTTGATAAGCTGGTGAAGGACATTTACGGAGGAGACTATGAACGATTTGGCCTTCAAGGATCTGCTGTAGCATCAAGGTAGAGATGAAGTAGCTAGAGGCAGTAGTGATTCAACAAAGTAGTGATTAGAGCCACCTTTCCATCCTGGCTATTCATTTAGTTCTTTAAGATGTCAACTCACCAGCCTGGTGCAAATACCTTTCTGTATTAGAGCTTGAACTTGATCTCCTGCCCTTAATGAAACACTAAGATGTACTGCTCCCAGTGTTTGTGCTTAAAATAAAGCTACATGGAAAAAAAAATTCTGGAAAATTACAAGTTTCCTCTGTTCAGTTCTTGTCCAGATATCCAGAGCATAAAGATGCATTTGTCCACATCCATAGCTGTACTACTTTGCCCCCTGTTGAGAAAAGAGCAGCCAACTCGTCATATCCTAATTTTGTGTCTTTATAAACCATAGTAGCCAAATCAGGTCATTTGAGTTTAAACAGAGTTATTTAGAAAGCTTTCCACAGTTCTTTGGTGGAAACATGGGCCTTCCTGAGGATGATTTGAACATTCTCACTGTTTCCAACATAGCTTTGGCAACATGATGAGTAAAGAAAAGCGAGATTCTATCAGCAAGGAAGACCTCGCCCGAGCCACTTTGGTCACCATCACCAACAACATTGGCTCCATTGCTCGGATGTGTGCGTTAAATGAGGTAAGCCAAGCGAGGGGAGGATGTGTCACCATACATGTCATCACTGGTGGTACAATGTCTGTTGATCTTCCCAAAATGACAGATTCTCAGGGAAACCCACCCTTGGCTGTAGTCGCACATTGATGAACAGTAATGGTGTCGGGAGGGGGAGGCAGGGAGGTTTAAGTGTTTTCTTTTTACAGAGACACTGGCTGACAACAAGACATCTAAATATAGAAACATAAAATTATAACTTGTCACATCCATTATTATCGTCATACATGCCTACTGAAGTTTGAGGAACGTCTCCTCACACACAATCGGTCTCTTTGAATTCTTGGAAATAATGGATCGTAAAATGTAGTCCCTACCAGGTTACCCATTTCAATATCAGGACCTCTGGGAAAATCTTGCTCCCTTTGACATAGTCGATATTCTCTTTGCTTTCAGCTTCTTTACAGTGTTGCCTTGTGGCATGGAGTTCAAGCAGCATTGTACAGGGCTATCAAAGCATAGAGAGCTTGCTGCAGCCAAGGCCAGCCAGAGCCTCAGAAAAAGAGGCTCTGAGGGGGCGACAAAGCAGGTTTTGAAATATTGCAAAATTCCTTTGGGGGAGAAAAAAAGGGCACCCTTTCTGAAATACAAGGCACGTAAGAAGCGTTCTCTTCTTGTTGACACCTGTTAGGAAGGTAAGAGAGGGTTTGTGGCATGAAACAACTAATAGGAGAAGTCCTAAAGACTATGGTGGCATCAATAATAGAGACTTCCTTTATATAGTTTCTTTTAGAAATAGAGCACAGAAAACGGTTTGGCTGATAAGTGCACACTAGTGGGTTTGCATGCCTCTGTATGGCCACCACTCAGATAAAGACATGGAGGAGTGCCTTTGTGTCTCTTCCAGTATAGCAAGTGGAGAGTTTAGTGCATGATACAGTTCTTTGGATAACTAGAACTAGGTCTGCTTTTGAACTCTAGGATTCCAAAAGATAGACCCTATTAAAGAGGGTGTGTATTAATGGCTAGTGGATCAGGATCCTAACTTTTGAATGGATTTTAAATGCAAGACTAGCTAGAAGCATGTATTCCACAGATGTGCATTTTTAGCATCCACTTCTGTATTGGGACTCTCTGTACCTAAGGGTTGCTTTCTTTCTTGATGCTGATTTTTAATATCTGAGTGGCCAAGCTTGCCCTCAGAGGAGAATGTGTACTTGGCTGTCCTCATGGCCTCTCAAAGGTCAGTTAGACGGGAACATCCCAAACCAAATAGAGCAATAGGTGCCCTTTCCCCTGCTTTCCACAGAGCTAGCTTCTGCGTGGTGCATCTGGCTTCAGTGAACCAGCAGGCCTTTTTTGCAGGTATTGTAATCACGTTAGAGGTAGTACAGCTGGCTTACTTTTTCACTTTTGACCTCATTTTCAATATGACATTGTTGAATCTAGCAAAAGTGGCTGTTTTTAAAAGTATTACCATGTTATTGCCACACTGAATTGAGTAGTTATTTTAGATGCTTTTGTGGAGTGAAGACAATCACTGGATTCCCTAGGAGCAAAGACTATTAAATGAAGGTCAAAGTCCCGATGGCCTTATATTAAGGCAGATTCCCCGTGGACACACCAGTGATGCAAAACCTTTACTTTGATTTCTCGATTCAGTGATTTGAGGATCTTATTTCAGCCACTGATAGATGAACACCACATTTTATTGTCTCTGCAATATTGGATAAAATGTTCTCTGTCAACTTCTTTTAAATTTAAAAAATATTTCATATATAATCGTAGGGTTTATCTCTCAGTATGCCTTTTCTAACGTGGCTGTCTGTGTGGAGAGGCAGGACTATGCAAGTAAGGCATGCTGGCTTATCTACATAGGGACTGGCTGTCTATCATTACACAAGGAGTCTGGCCATTCTCAACAGTCTACAAGAGGACTGGCTAGTCTCACCAATAAGTAAAACAGCTCTAGTTGTGGAGAATAAAGAATCTTTCCCCAGCAGAACAAAAATACTACTTCCGCTAGCCAGAGAGGAGAGACCTCCCTCCACCTGGTAAAATGTTGGACATGGTTCAGGATGACAGCAGGCCATGGCTGAACTGGAGAATTGATGTGACATGGGATGAAACCTTGGGGTGGGGTCAGTATTGACAGGACTGGGAATTTTGTTGGACAGTTGTGAGTGGAAAGTCAATATTGACAGGACTGAGAACTTTGTTGGACAGGCTTTATTGACAGGACTGAAAACTTGGGAACACCTAGAGTCCCAAGGCTTGAGGCTGAGGTGCCTGTATGCACATTTTGGGAGCTGTCTTGACTGTGTTTTGTCACTAATTATAATTACAACCTTTTGACTTCTTCAATATGCTTCTGTATGGTCTTTGAGTTATCACGTGGATTTTGGTCTCACCAAAGAAGTAAGTTTGGTGTTGAGATAACTAAAAGGAGACGTGGGACATGTCTGACCTCATAGAAATTGGATTTGTGTTATTGATGCTGTAGACAGCATCTGTGAAGTTGCTAAGGGTCAGATATAGCACTCCTCATGTGGCCCTTAGTCTTTTTGCAGTAGTACAATGCACATCACATAATTCAAAAGAAACCAAAACACGTGCAGAAAAAAACAAGTCACCATTTCTACCTTTGGTCCTCAATGGTAATCTCACACTATAAGCAGCCATGATTTTTACTTTTTCATATATACTCTATGAAGAATAGGAAGCTCTGCTGGCCTAGTGGGAGAGGAGTTGTACTGCCAACCGAAAGGCAGACAGTTCAAATCTACCTGCTGCTCCAAGGGAAAAAGATGGAAAGTCTCCTATGCCGTTTACAGCTTCTGAAAACCCTCTGGAGGGTGAGCTGTGAGTCAATTCAAACCTGACAGCACGTAACATGTGTAGGATACATGCAGATATATAGTCATCCATACCCAAGTTGGGGATGGGGGATGCACACGCTCACAGACATATACTTCTAAAGGTGGCAAACCCTGCAGTATTTTTTTTAATGATGATGTAAGTGGTGTTACTTCCAACTCACAGGAACTTTGTACAGTACTACAAAAACATTGGTAAATCCTTCACTGTCCTCACAATTGTTGCTGTTTGGCCCTATTTCAGCTAGTGTATCAGTTCATCTTACTGAGAGTCTTGTTTTTTGCCAGTCCTTTACAAAACATGATGGCCTCCTCCAGGGTCTGGTCCTTCCTGAAAAGATAGATACACAGACTATATAAGATGACATCTGGCCTTCCTCACTAGTAAGCAGCATTCTGGCAGTACTTCTTCCAAGCAAGATTTGTTCATTTTTCTGGCAGTTAATTCACTATTTTTCTTTATTACCATAATATATCCATTTTTCTTCAGTCTTCCCTATTCACTGCTCAGCTTTCACATACATGTGAAACATACCATGGCTCGGGCCATGCACATCTTAGTCCTCAGCCTTTGCTTTTGAACACTTTACAGAGGTTTTTTACAGCAGATTTGCCCAATGCAATAAATGAGTTGGTTTCTTGACTGCTGGTACATGGACATTGATCATGGGTTCAAGTAAATGAAAATCCTCGACAACTCCATTATCTCCTCCATTTGTTCTGATGTTGCTTACTGGTCCAGTTGTAAGGATTTTTGTTTTCTTTATATTGATCAATAATCCATATTGACAGCTGTAGTCTTTGATCTTCATCAACAATTGCTTCAAATCCTCTTTACTTTGAGCAAACAAGGTTGTGTCATCTGCGTATCACACATTGCTAATGACTCTTCTTCCAAGCTTGCTGCTATGTTCCTCATTTATTCCAGTCCAAATTATTTGCTTAGTGTAAAAATTGTATGTTATTGTTGTTATGTGCCATCAAGTTGTCCACGACTCATAGCAACCCGTGTACAGCAGCTCTGAAGCCTGCCCTTTTCTGAAGCAGTCTCACTGACTCTGATACACCTACTGCTATTTCCTTTAGTTACTGTATCAATCCATCTTATCAAGGTCTTCCTCTCCTGTCCCTCTGCCCTTCTGAGACGATGTCTTTCTCCAAGGACCAGATCCTCTCGGCCACAAGCCCAAAGTATGTGAGACGAAGCTTCAAAAGCCTAGCCTCCAAGGAAGAACTTGGTTTCACCCTCTCCAAGACAGACCTATTTGTTCTCTTGGCAGTCCATGGTATGGTGAAGACTCTTCTCCAGCACTTCAAAGGCATCAATTCTTCTATCATCCTTAGAATAAGTATGGCAAAAGAATACAACTTTGACACCTACCTTTCAGGATTGTAAACTGTATAGCATACCTTGTTCTGCTCGAATGACTGATTCTTGGTGTGTGTACAGGTTCCACATGAATAGGATTAAATAATATATTCATTAACCTATAAATCATATACCATACAATTAATCCTCTGCATCCTATCCAATATCTTTGTTTATAAACTTTTAACTTCCAAAAATTGACATACATACATACAGGAGAAGGGATTGTATAAAAGTCCCTCATGTTTTTCAGATATTGCCATTCCTCTTTTTTATCTGTTTTGTTTCTACTTTGATGAAACTTAGTCTCACATACTTTGTACATATTGTTTGGAGGGACCAGTCCTTGGAAGAAGATACCATGCTTGGAACAGTGGAGGGTCAGTGAAGAGAAAGGAAGACTCTCAATGAGATGGATTGACATAGAGTAGCAGAGATGATGCGGGTGGCCCAGGATAGGGTATGGCTCTGATCCATTGTTCAGAGGGTCACTGAGTCATAGGTGACACAACGGTATCTAACAACAACAATTAAAAAGCAGATACCAAGGGAGCACTGGTGGCCTAGTGACAAGAAGCTGCACTGCAATCCCAGAGGTATGTGGTTCGAATCCACCAGATACTCTGCTGGAAAAGGAAGGGCAATCTTCTGTACCAGTCAGATCTGATTTGATGGTACACACACACACACACACTAATAATAATAAAATTAAAAATTTTAAAAAAAACCAAACAGATACCAGATCATTCTATCAGTCAACCCTATATGCTTCAGTATGCACCTTTTAAAATATTTCCTCTAGCTTCTTTATATGATAATGTATCTTGAAATTGTTCATAGTAGTACATTCAGAGCTGCTTTTTTTAATGACATGGTATCAGATAAGCTGTTCTTGATTTGCTCACTTAATCATATTTAGATTTTCAACAAGTCTTTTGTTATTTTTAAATAGCAAAAACATTTATATTATGCATATATTATTATTGTTGTTGTGTACCATCGAGTCAGAATTGACTGACTGTCCAACAGATTTTCAGAGGCAGTTTATTTGTCACACAGGAGGAGATTGCCCATCCTTCTCTTGTGAAGCAGCTGGTAGATTCGAACAGTATGCCTTCGGGATTGCAGTGCAGTTTCTCAGCACTAGGCTACCAGAGCTCCTTATGCATGTATAGATACAGAAGTACTTGAAGGAGCCCTGGTGATATAGTGTGCTACATGCTTGGCTGCTTACGAAAAAGTTCAGCAGTTCTAATCTGGCCTCTCCATGGGAGAAAGATAAGCATTTTCCTGTTAAGATTTACAGCCCAGGAAAACTACTGTTTGCAATTGTGGTGTCACCATAATTTGGAATCTATGCATCAGCAAAGGGTTCTTGTATATACTTTTGCATTCTTACTTGCCTACATGAGACTTTAAGATAAATTCCTAGGAAGGAAATTGCTGAGCCAAAAGATATGTCAGTTGCAATTCTGATCATTAACATAAAATTCTGTCTATAAAGATGGTAGTAATTTATTCCTACTGGCAGAGTAGAACATTAGTAGACATTTTGCTATTTTCCAGTGTAATAGAAAATGGTGTTTTACTTTGTTGTTTTTATGTTTAAAACTTTTTATTGGTTGTATACAATCATTCTTATACGTACATTTTTCTTAATATAAATTCACAATTTTTTTCATATATTTTGTGTAAACTTTTAATTCATTTCATCCATTTGCATACTGGATTGCTGATCTTTTTTTTTAACGATTTGTAGGAACACATTAAGTATGAGATATTGTCTGAATATATTTTCTGTTTATTATTTTCTATTTAGATTTTATTTTAGTGGTCTTTTTTCTTGGATAAATGCAAAGAAAATAAGTATCTGTCTTTAATTTTACTCTGCCTTTTCCACTCTAACATTTTTTTAAAAAATATTCTTTTAAAAAAATTCTTTTATGTTTTCATCTAGTATCTTATATCTTTTTTTTCTTCTATGCATTTAAATCTTTTAAATCTATGGCCTACCTCGAATTTTTTGGAAGCAGGAGTGGCATCCACTTCCGAAATGGATTGCCTCCGGAAACTCTATGAACATGGAGAAACGATGGAAGTTATACAAGTGTTCAGGTCTTTGGTTCATAGTGTTGCTATGAGTCATCTATGACTCGATGGCATTTAACAACAACAACCTGGAATTTAATTCAAGTAAGGAATATCCATCATCTTTTAAACAAATACAGTGTTTTTTTGTGATCCTTGTTGTGTGCCATTGAATCAGCTCCTATTAACCTCCCATCAGCTTTTAGCATTACTTCTATTTCTTCTACGAGGGTTATGCAGTTGTAGAATGTTGAACAAAGCCTACCTTTGGCTCCTTTGGGGAGAAAGGCTCAGACTCCTAAATGTAATTAAATCCTTCCTTATTCTGAGTTTCTTACCTCGAGTGCTTTTTGCCACCTCTTAGTCTGGGTGCTTTGTAGCTTTCTGTGTGAGGGCATAAACTTGATAAGTTAAAATCACTGCCACATCCACGGGAAATTTTCATGTTTGCTAATTGGCAGAAGTACAGTAAGTATGTTCCTTGGAAGTAAAGGTGTTAAGGCTTTTTTCTATGTATTTTGGATATGAGTCCCTAAAGAAGGATTTCACGCTTGGCAAAGTAGATGGTCAATGAAAAAGAAGAACCTCAACAAGATAGACTGGCACAATAGCTACAACCATGGACTCAAAATAATAAATAAAAGGATGGCACTTGACTGGGCAGTGGGGTTTTTTTCTTTTGTAAATGGGTCACTTTCACTGGGAACCAGCTTGACGGCACCTGACAACAGTGGATTGATGAACGTGTATTGTTTTAAAACTTGAGACCATTAAAGAGTGATGTTTCCAGATCCTAATTACTCTTGATAGAGTGTAGAGAAAATCATACCAGCTTTACTGATTCTCTCCTTTGGTATGAGTTAGCAACTAACCCCGTGAGGAGTCAGCAGCCTCTGTGTGACAAGCAGGCAGGCAGAACTCAGTTTGAAATATCTGAGGAGTGGGGAAGGCCAGGAGCACACTGGGACTTGAGGCTTACAGGATCTGAAGTATGTCTACATGGCCAGGATGGGAGAGCAGTGTTCATCATTTGTTTACAAGGTGTAGATCTTTATCCATGCCTTGGAAAAGATAACTAAATACACACATGTGTGCACATACACACTGCCCCAAACAAGGGACATGAGCTTCCCTCCTCCTCTCTTTTTTTCTTTTATTATGATTTGAATGAAAGTTTGCAAATCATACAGGTTTTTCACTCAGCCATTCATGTGTGTTTTATAATACTAATCACAGTCAAGAAGTGTAATTAGTTAATTACACTGTCTGGCCATCCCCTTTGTTGTGTATTGCCTTTCTCTTTACCTAGTTCAGTAAATGTCTATTGTTTATTAAATTTTACTCCCCTTTCACCCCTTCCTATCCCTGGTAACCATTACTTATGTTTATTTTGTTTATTTTGTTGTTGTTGTTAGCATATTTTAAACCATGTGTGGACTAAACAGGGTATCACACTATATATTCTGAGAGCAGAGAGTGGGTACTATTCTTTTTGTGTTTTCACTCTTTGATACTGGAGAAAACTCGTTAGATGAATCGGCCATACCAAGGCCAATCTTTTTAATATGAATATTTATGAGTTGGGTATAGGAATATTTTATAGGTGGAAGTTTGAAGGGTTTGTGATATGAACTAGCAAATTTAGCTACAGTTACAGGAATATATCTGTTTGGGAAACTGAATTTCATGTCAAACTGTAAGAGCTCCTGAATGTATTACTTGGCGGACAGACTGACCATCAGTCCCTGCCTCTTGCTGCACAGAAGTCTTACCCTTCTGTTCTTATGAAATAACTAAGTTTGTGTGACTTCATCTTGGAAATGCCAAAATAGTTGCGTTAAAAAGAAAGAAAATCACTGTGCAGGACTAATTGTTATTTTGACACTATGGCTCAGTTGTTTTTCTTTTTTCTTTCAGAATATTAACAGAGTTGTATTTGTTGGGAATTTTCTCCGAATCAATATGGTCTCCATGAAGCTGCTAGCATATGCCATGGACTTCTGGTCCAAAGGACAACTGAAAGCTCTCTTCTTGGAACATGAGGTAGGCTGAGGTTACAGGGATTCGCTCATCCTGTATGTTTGAGTTGTCTGCTTTTTGAGCAGATGTTCATAATTTTAAAGCTGGTCAAGTATAAAAAAAGTTCACATTACATTTTGCATTTTTGCGAAGGATAGAAAATGGAAGCCCTTTAAATCTGAACCGGTTTTCAGTTAATTTTTAAAAGTCCATTAAGATTGACTCATTAAAAAATAAATCCCTTCTTTAATGATTTCATTTTTATCTTAAATTGATTCAGCAATATTCTCATGTAAAGCCAAGGTCTATTTTTTAGTATAAGTTCTGCTGGTTAGAATTTTGTAGCTTTAAATATCACGAGTATTATGCATTCTTCTTGATTTTTAGTTTATGTCTTCAAATTACATCAAATCGCTAATGATACAGGTGAAACAAGTTGGTTACAGAATCCTATGTTTTCTTTTTCAAACATTAGACTGTATTTTCATAATAATAACTGTTCTTTTTGTACTAGTTTTTCATTGGTTTATGCCCTTGTTCTTTATTGTTGCGTACCGTCAAGTCAGAACCAGCCCATATAGCTGACCCTCCAACGGATTTTCAGAGGCCGTTAATCAAACAGGAAGAGGCTGCCCATCCTTCTCCCACAGAGCAGCTGATGGATTCAAACTGCATCCCTTCAGGACTGCAGCATAGCTTCTTACCACCAGGGCACCAGAGCTCCCTAAATATATGAAAGCATATATTAGTGTATAATCAAGTCTCATTCATATTAAATCTATCATTTAAAAAAATGTGAGTGTAAACACAGCAATAATTAGCAGATTCCAGACTCAAACACAGGCCACGGCCCTATATCAGAATACAGACCCTGGAGGCACACAGTTTCTAACTGAAAGTGGGAGTTGAAGTTCCCCAGAAGTGCCTCAGAAGAAAAACTAGTTGAATTTTGAAAAAATCTACCATTGAAAATCCTGTGTGTCACAGTTCCATTCTGACACACAGGGGGTCACCATGAATCAGTGAGTCCACTCAGTGGTAACTGGTTGGATAGTTGGTTATACTGCAGCAAATATTTATAGATAGGTAGAGAGAACTAATGTAAAATTACATTTCCAATTTTTTATCTACCAACAGAATTATTTACCTGAAAAGATGTATTTGTAGGTTATTTACAACTGACTATGCCCCTAATTTGTTTTAGTGAAATATAAAATAATAAGAACTTAGATACAGAACTGTCAGGAAGTCAGTTTGATATTATTATTAATGCAAGCAATAATTAGAATTAATGCTTTTGAGAAGCAATAGCTTCCCCCCTCCCCCCCCACCCCATTCTCCAATTTGGAGTCTCAAAATTTCACTGTGTCTTCCCAAGCTGGGGAGGCTTCCTCTTTACTTATTTGCTGAGTCTTCATGTAACTTTGCTTGTTTAACAAAACAAAAACACAAAAAGCCCTAGAACTTCAGCTTTAAGAAAAATAGGAGAGAAAAAGACCAATTCTCATCAACACAGTGTTGCTATATTTAGGAATAAAAATACAAAGCATTCAGTTGGTTATTTTAGCTGTATATTAACTGGGAACCTTAAATCCACATCCATCTGGACTAGTGCAGAAAACAAAGCCTGGAGACAGTCAGGGATTAAAAACCATCTACAAGGTCACACAGGTGGCTAGTTGGTGGGAAAATAAGGAATAAGATTAAATATTTTGGGGGAAATTCATCTCTCTGGGTAAAACCATAGTCATGAGTGTCACTATCCACCATACCACTGTGGAAGATAGATTTAGGTTGTTATTAAACTCTGTCTCTATGGCTGGTAAAAGTAAAACAGACTATTAATCTCCTGAAAATAGCCCTCTGAAAATTCTCTGCAGTTTTTACTTTACTTTGGCTGAAGTAGATGTTGGAGACTATGGAGGAAGAATGTTGATACAATGGCATTCCAGTAAGCCGACCTGATTTGAATTCTCACTCAGTTTCTTATTCAACCAGCATTGTTGCGTACTTTCTATGAAAATCAAGTGTTGTCAAGCAGCTACAAGCTCAGCCTCTTAATGACGGTGAGGACTCTGCAAGTGTTTCTGTCTTATCATTTGTGAAATGATATGACAGTATTTTGTCTCATTGAGTTGTCATGAAGATGCAATGAGTAAGTTGATATAAAGTGTTTAGAACAATTCCTGGCATGTCGTAGCACCTCAGAAGTCCTTGTGGTGCAGTAATTAAGCCCTTAACTGCTAACCAAAGTTCAAACCCACCAACATCTCCTTGAGAGAAAGGTGTGCCAGTCTGCTTCTGTAAAGACTACAGCCCTAGAAGTTCCACAGGACAATTCTGCTCTGCCCTGTAGGGTTGCTATGAGTCTCAGCCAACTCACTGGCAGCAGACTGAGTTTGGTTCTGGTCGGGAGACCTTAAATGCTCGCCAGCATCAGTAATCCTGCCATCTAGTGTCCTGACAGCGTTTCTGTCCACTTCCATTGTCTTGAGTTGGGCAGACACCATCAGAGCAGAGCCTTTAGAAACCAGGTTCTCTTAAAATGTCTCACTTTTAGATTAACTTCTCATTTTTGCAGACACAGCTTTTGTTTTACAGCTGAGCACAGTGAGGTCCCTCCCAAGATCTTCTGAGGCAAGATTAGGCTTCTGTTCATGGAGATACAGCTTTCAAGTTAGAAACGATTGGAGCTGAGTTCTGGTACAAGCCTTGTGGTAATGAAAAGGTTATTTGCTTTGTTAGCTTTTCTCATTTAGGAAATGGGGCCAGCAATATAAATCTTACCACTGCAAAGGTTAAGATGAAGTAATACCCAGCACTTAAACACAATGTACATTGTTCTAAATACCCTACACACAATAACTCACTTAATCTATATAAATGAATAGGTGTTTGATAGATTGTATTGTTGTTGTTCTCACCATCAATACTACTATGATGCCACGTTTCCTCATGGCAAAAAGGTTTTAAATTTTAAATTCTCTCATCTAAGCAGGAGTGGCATCCATTTCCTAATCAACATGCCTCCAGAAACTCTATGACCTTTAATAAATGTTGATAGTTATAGAAAGACTTCAGGCCTTTTGTTCAGGCCTATGAGTTGTGCTCAACTCAAAGGCGGTCAACAGCAACATTTACATTAAGGCAGAATCATTCCTAGTATGACAGCTACAGATATTTGACTAATGGTCAGGCATATAAAAGTTTCCCTGTTGTTTTCGTAGGGTTATTTTGGAGCTGTCGGGGCACTACTGGAACTGTTCAAAATGACTTCTGACCTGTAGAGAGGAGCATGAGAGGTACAGCCTCCTGTGAGGACGAACTGCTGCTGGAGAAGGTGCAAGCTGCTGGGGGATGGAAGCCAAGCCATTATGGCAGTTAAACCTGCTGGATTTGTAAATAACTTAAAATCCTTCTAGCTGATCTTTTACTCTTCGGTTTTGATTTAAAATGGAGACTACAAGAGCTTTTCTGTATATGGTATTTTTAAAAATAAAAAATATCAACAACAACAAAAATATTGTGCAGCGTGGCCAAACCTACCAATTTTATGCATTAACTTTAAAAATGTTGTTTGATGTTTAAGAAGGACCTGTAATGTAAGAGCTGGTTTGTTTTGTTTTGTTTTCTTCTGGGGTTTACTGATCAGTGTGGTAATTTTAACTTCATTTAGTAATTACTCTAGGAGATTTTACTTTTACGTATATATTTTTCATGATGTTTCATGATTTGCTGTTTGTTTCAAATGAAACTACAAATCTAGCATGTTTTACTGTGAACACTGTTTGTTTACCTTTTTTGTCTTGTTTTTCTGTTTGAATGTTTTGAATGAAAGAGACCACCACTTCTGTCTTTGGGTGATCGCCCCTACCCCACTAACTCAAATAGTAGACTTTCTTTTACAGTAATTGTTCATCTTAATTAAGGTGCTGACCAACTCAATACAAAGTTAATCACGAAATCTAAAGCTCTCAGAAGTGCCCAGAAGAGAAGACACTAAATGTGTTTTTTCATTTAATGAGTCTTAAAAAAGTTGAAAACAATATGCAATTTTGTCTTAGCCCTTAAGAATATAATAGAGTTTTGTTGGGTTTCTTTTCTGCTAGGTTATATTAAATAGAATTATTCTATTCTAAAATGTCCTTATCCTTGCATAGAATAGAATGGCAGCAAATCCTTGTTCACATCATGAAATTTCATGTTCACACTGGGAAAATCATGGTTTGGACTATGTTTTGTGTATGAGTCTGTATCTAGACGCTTTGTAACAAGGCATCTTTAAATAATAATGTTGCATTTTTTGTTTTTAATATTCTAATCTTAAAACTATTTAAATGTCAATTTCTAAAATTAAAAAATTATTATATTGATTTTTTTAACTCCATAGGGACTTATGAGTAACATTCAAATGTGAGGGTCTTATACAAATATTGGAACACATAGGAGCTTATAATTTAAAACAAACTGATCTTTTGGATTGAATGTAGTGTTGAATGGATTTTTGAAGGGTAATACAATTATTCCATGATGAACCTTTTCTTTCTGCCTTCTGAGCACCATCTTTATTTAACTTTCTTATCTTTGAGTCCTGAAGAAGTTGATATTAATTAAAGTATTCACTTGTCTGGTTGAAATAAAGCCTGTATCTGTTGTGATGTGTTTAGTGTGTATGTTTATTTGTATTTTTAATCCTCATTTTACATTATCTGCTTAGTACCATGGAGTTAATGTATGTCATGTTTTGGGTGCTCAACATTCCATAGTTTGAAGCTTTCATACAAGTTAAGTCCGAAGCGTTGTGTCTTCCTTTGAAACTGTAGCCCTGTGTAGGAATTCTTTTTAATAGCTTTATTTTTCTTATGCAGCTAACTCCTTAATGCCAAAATGCCACTGTGATATTTGGTAGTTTTCAAGGAGTAAAGTATGTTTGATGGGGCTATCACAGATAAATTTTATCAACTGTTGCCTAACTTTAAAAAAAAAAAAAATCCAAGCAACTAAGAAGTCCTTGAAAAAAGATAAATATAAAAATCTACATACTGTCTCTAATTAGTGCCTTTTTGATCAGTCTCTTTTATCATCTCTAATCTTATTTGTCAGGGAATAGCAGACCTTGAGCCATGGTTCTGCAAAAGAATTCAGGGCAACACTACATGTTTTTTTAATTATCTAAAATCTCTTTGTCTCTTGTAAATATTTAAAGCTCGGGGCTGAGGAAATAAATTTTTCTGTTATATAAATATGAGTTAAATTTTGGTCACATATAATAATAATAAGCAGTCCTTTTTTTCCTTTTTTAAAAGAAGAACTTAAAGCATAAGGATTTTTATATTTACTTGAATTATAGAACCTTTCATTAGACTCAGGATTACAGAGTTGGAAGGACTGTAGCATTTTTATTTTGTGCCAGATGAAGTCAGGATGGCTAGTAGCTGCCTTTTTGGTGCGAGATGGCTTGAGTTTGGATCCCCACCCAGCCATTTACCAGCTATGAGGTGGATTGCTAACTCTCATGTTAGAGAAGAGCTTTCTGACCTGATGGAGTTCTTGTCATTATGCGCCATCAATTCGGAGTTGACCCACAGCTGACCCTGGGTTTTCAGAGATAATAAATTGCAGCAGGGGAGAGTTCTCATCCTTCTCCTGTGGAGCAGCTGGTGGATTTGAACTGTGCCTTTGGGTAGGGGTACCTATTTTAGCCTGAAAACACCTCACAGAGCACCATATAGCCAGTCCATTGGACCCCATCCACAGTTCACTATCCCAAACCTTTAACATTGTCTGGTAACTTCCTTGGCAGTGAAACCTGACTTGAACATTCTTTATTATACTTAGTAGGATTCATCATAGATTCTGTTGCAGAGATATTAATATATTTGATTACAGGGTACTGCCCCCAACTCTGCTGGAAATATAAAAGTAGTGAACAGTACTGGATTGTGAAACACATCAAGGCTAAGAGTTTCAAACAAAGAGATTATAGTTGTATTTTCTTCTAGTCACACAGTACACATGGGTTCAGAATCGCTGTGTTGGAAATCATTGTTGTAGATAGTTTATACTGGTAGCTATTCAACCATGCAGAGAATGTTAAGAGGTTCTTTTGTGCCAGGAAGTCACTCAGGAGAGTAATAGACTACAGCCCTCCTAGTCCAATGGGAGAAATTTCAAACTAAAACATAGGATGAAACATCACAGGGGTCATTCATTTGTTCAATTATTTGTTTATTCACGGATATTTTCAGGGGTAAAACCAAAACCCCACCTTCATAGAGTTTTATTGACAAGACTGATATATTACTTAATACATATTGTTAAATCTTTATCAGTATTATGAAGAAAAAGTAAGGCAGAGTTAGGGGCTAAAGAGGGCATAGTTCTGTTTAGAAAAAATGAGTAGAAGAGAATCTTCTTAGGTTCGAATGGTAAAATACAACTTCTCATAGGAAGTGACCTTTGAGCTCAAAGGGAAATGAAGTTGGAATCACACCACGCAAATCCATGAGAGAAAATTCTTCAGTTCTGGAGAACAGAGTTGTTGAGGAAATGCAAAGAGTATCAGGCGCAAACAAAGGGAAGAATGGTAGAAGATGGAATATTTAAATCTGTAAGGGGGGAGATAAAGAACTGCACTTGAAGGGAAACTGATCTGTCTTGCTTGGAGGGGGAACTTAAGAAGTCTTCCTAGAGTGTCAGTAGCACCCACAAAGTGGACCAGGAAGAAAAGGGCTTGACATCTCCAGAGTGCTAGCTTCAGCAGAGGCCTGGTTAGGGAGAGAGAAAGCCAGTCAGATTATGGAGGGATTCCCATTCCATGCTAAAGATTTTTAACCTTTCTTTAGCCAGAGTGGGGCCACTAAGGAATTTTAAGAAAAAGTAAAACAAGAATGAATGTGGCTTAAAAATGATAAGAGCAAGATGTCCCAGTGAGGTAAGAAATGAGAAAAACAGTTATTGTGCTTTTGAATACTTAATTCCATTCCACTGCCATGTTTATTTTATTTCCTTTACTATGCCAGACTTCATGACGTAACTGCTTAGTGGACCATGTTTCTCAGTAACTAAGATGGTTATGTAAACTGTTGAGAATTTTCTCAGAGGATAAGGCTATTAATAGCTACTGCTCTGATCAGAAGAAGCATTTTAACACCAGTGATCCCCATAAACTCTATTACATGGGAGAATTCTTGTGAGAGAGGGCTTGGCTCTTGTCAAGGATCAGATGCTTCCAGACTGGTGAGAAGGAATTAATCAGCATTGTCTACTGGTCTATCATGTGCTCCATTATTCACTCTTCATTAATTTTGCACAAACTGCCAGTGTCCTGGCGAGCACTGAGAATACATCTGTGACTGTAACAGCCCTATCCCTGCTGTCATCGAGCTCATGTTCTAATGAGGGATCTGGACTTCAAGCTTATAAACCAACAAATACCAGATTGTGGTAAGCACTTTGAAGGAAGACTACAGGTGAGATAGGAAAAAGAGAAAAGAGCCAGTAATGAGATGCCAATATGAATAAAATATGGCCTCAGCTTTTAAGTAATGACACGTTCACCATCCTTCCATTCCTGTTGCTTCTAATGAAAAGCATTTTTGAGAAACAGTTGGACAGACAATTCATTTGACATATAATATTTAGTTTTGTTTTCATATGTATTTTGAATTAAATATTCCATGCAATAGTGTTAATTTAAAAGTATAACTTCCTATTCATTCATTTCCAGAAAATATTTACTGTTACTTGAATTTTTTATTGTCAATGCCTTTGACATCAACAGTCATTTGTTTCCAGAACACATAAAATTTGATACAAAGCACTTTATGAATCTGTATATGGTGTTGACACTATATTTTTAAAATCAAGCCACAATCACCTGTATATATTCAGTATCTTTATTGAAGACAGTTGTTTATTTCCTTTTCTAGAGGGTATATGTTGGTGACTGCCACAATATAACTCATTTGTATAGCTTGTTCACCATCCATGCTTTTAAGGAACACTCTGGTTGTACTTCCTACAAGACAGATTTGTTTGTTCTTGTGTTTTAAAGCCAAGTTAAAAGGACTAGCTTATTAGTAGTCAGCACTTGCAATATAAAAATAAAGTTTGTGTTAAAAGTTCTTTGTCTCCTTTTTTAATTCATTTTATGAATAAATGCTGTATGTCTGACAGTTTGGCAGGGTATCAAATTTTACCTCAGAATTCTGAAAGCACAGCCCTGTTGGTATCAAGCTCACAGACTTGGTGTGGAAAGTCTGACAGTAATCAGACTTCTGATTTGACAGTGTCTTCTGGATGATTTTATAAACTTCAACTTTCACTTCCAGTTCTAACATCGAACCTAAAAGCTATCCTCTCATACCTAATACAAGAGGGGAAAGCTGTGCAGGCTGATAATCAGCAACTTTGGAGGGCTCATCAGCAAACTGAGGTTGCAGGAGTCACCTTGAAAGTAGGAGAGGCAAGTGAATACATAGGATCATAGATGAGATTAATTGTTGGAGCCATAAACTGGTTATTGTTGCCATGCGCCATCAAGTTCATAGAGACCCTGTGAACAAAAGAGTGGGACCTTGCTGCATCCTGTACCATCCTCATGTTCTCCAACAAACCCAAAACCATTTGACTGACACTGTCAATCCATCTTGTTGAGCATCTCTTTCCTTTAACCTCCAGCTTTGCCAACATAATGCCAACAAGATTGACCCCTCCTGACAATATTTCACTGTCCTTGCTTTTAAGGAACACCCTGGTTGTACTTATTACAAGATAGATTGGTTTGGCCTTTTGGCAGTCCATGTTGTTGCTGTTAGATGTCATCATGATGAGTACAACTCACAGAGGCCCTGTGAACAAAAGACATGAACCCTGCTCTATCCTGTGACATCTTCCATCATCTCTATAGACATACTTGAACCTATTGCTGCAGTTACTGTGTCAGTCCATCTCACTGGGTGTCTTCCTCTCTTTCACTTACCCTCCACCTTTCCAAACATGATGCCCCTTTTCAAGGAATAGTTTGTCCTGCCAACATGCTCAAAATATGAGAGATGGAGCTATACCATCCTTGCCTCCAAGGAGCACTCAGGCTAAACTTTTTTGGGCTGTTCAGTTTGTTGATGAGATAATCAGTACTCTTTGACACCATAACTGAAAGGCATCAATTCTTCTGTCATCTTTATTCATTGTCCATTTC